TATTAACTTTTCCTAAGCTCTTTAGTTTTGAAGCTTTCCAAAAGTTTGCCAAAAGTTTTGAAATTTAAAAAGTTAGTTCTATTTGCATTGATTCATTACCTTTTATCGTAATTAATATTCCAGATGTCTTCAAAGTTAGGTTTCTTGATTCCTTTTATTTTAATATTGCCAGAGTAGCTCCAGAGGTAGCTAGCTAAGGATTCCTTATTTAATTATCAATTGATTAATTTTCTTATACATTACATTATATTGGAGGCCTTGGTTGTTGAGGGGGGGGGAAGTTTATAAATCAAGAGTCACCATTACAAGGGTTGCCTTGCGGAATCGCATGCACTGTTTTCCCGGGCGCCAGGTATAGCATCCTGAAGTCCAAATAGTTCGGCCCAGGATGCAATCCAAGCGGCCTCACCAATCGTGCCCCTTCTTCTCGCCTGATCCGCTCCTGGTAGCTAATAGCGTCCGGGCCTTAGGCACATGATTCACATGATCATGCTTTTTCAAATGGTTCTTTGCAGCATGCACAACCATTTCTGTCTCGCAACTTTGTCTTTTCCAGGCTCTTGCTACAAACAGAGTGACAAGCTCAAGGAAAAACCAACAACTTGAGGGGGTAACTTGACCAAAAACTATTATGCATGACCAAAAACCGCCCCACAGCTGGGCACCAAGGACTGAGGTACCCACTGTCGAAGTAGACCGAGCTCAACAATTGAGATTCTTCCATGGTGCCCGCGTATGCATTCATGGCCTAGCAAGTAGAATGCGGCGGCTGTCACATGTTCCAACTTGCTTTTGGTAATTCTAGATGCAGTGATGACAGTGCGGGTAGCATCTGTGGTCAGTATGCTTGCAGCCGATAGCCGCATGGCCTTCTATCATGAGCAAGGGTGAACTAATGAGACATACTGTGTTTGAAAGGCTGCCATCTCTTACTTGAGACAAGACGGGATGAGCGAAAGGTGGCTACTGTATCAAATAAGCGAGGGCGGACTGGAGCCTGTGATTTATTGCACGATCCTGGCTTCCCACTCCAGATTCAGGTAGCTGAAGCTACCTTTCGCGACCAAGTTTCCTTGAAAATCCCAGCTAAGTCTCCGGCTTGGCTGTCCATGCCCCCACTATACTCAAGATCCAGAAGAGCAAACGGTTCTAAAAGCTTTTCTTGCTCCTGGGATGGCAAAGATTGTCTGCCACTGCATAAGACTTCTCCTTCACACATTCAAGTCTGCATTGGCGTTGTGGTGGTTAGGTGGTATGCATACAATAGCTCACATGGCAAAAGCCCTTGTGCGGCTAGACCTTCATCACTCTCAGAGCAAACTATCATGAAGTGGAAAAATTCAATCCACTCTGCTCTGCCACTCTTCATGTTAAGCTGTCAAACAAGCTTCCGACTGTGAGGCTCCAAAAATCAAATACCTGAGACCCGAGTCTCTCATTGCAAGCACGAAGCGACAAACACAAGACAGGATGCCGGAGTATTGCACAGAATCCAGGGTGCGGTAAATGCTCCACAATCCGTGTTTTCAGAAGCACCACTTTGTCGGGCTGAACCCAGTATTTCGAAGTGTTCCTTGGAGGTCATTTGAACACAAAAGTAACAATTGACTCAGTTGGACATGTTGAGCTGTTGCAGCAGTGTGCCAGACCCACCCACCTTGGATTCTGTTGACCGTACCATATTTAGACTGGACCTTTGCAGCATTGCCGCACATTGCAACTGCTTCCATCATGTCTTGGTGTTGGCAAGCAGAACACTTGCAAGATTTCTAGCATGGAGCAAGCGTCACACGATATTCGTTTCAATTTAGACACCTGATGAAGCTCTCCGGCGGTTTCCACGTCGCATCCTCTCAGTTTGAGCACAAAGCCATTCAGGCCCATGCCACAGCGCAACCGAGTTGATGGAACAGCTACGATCACTTTCCCGGTTTTTGGTTCATTCTTTGAGGTGGGAAGCATTCTTGTAAATACATTGACATAGCCGCTGGCATGATATACTGAATAAATCAAATCTGAATATGCTTTGGGTGCGCAATAAAGCTTGATCAAATCAAGCAGTGTCCACGTTCCAGTCCGGAACGTGCGGAATATATAGTGCAGTGCTCATGAATTGAAAAACAACTTTGCGTAAGACAAGTTATGCAACAAATGTCTGTCCGCCACGGCTTTGCTACAGCCGGCGCAAAACCTTCCGTTGCACTAGCGTCACAATGATGCATCGAACAAAAACATAAACAAACCCCTCTCTTTACGGGAGTCCTTTGACTGTTCCGCCGGTGCTTGGGCTGAACGCCAGCGCGCCCATGCCAAACCAAGCAAAATCAGGATATCATCGAAACGAATATTGCCTTGCTAGCCGGCAAGAAGTGCACTGGCCGGTGCTTGCAGCTATAGCCAAACATGAGAATCATTTACACTAACAATTCTTACTTTAACGTGCTGCCACCATCTGCCGCCATTAGATGGGACTCTGCACAACTAGCCTGGACATGTGAACAAGTGTCTGGTGTCAATTGAGCAGCTAAGATGCAAAAAGGTTCGCAGTGGAGACCTGACACGAAGAGCGGGCTGCCAGAAGTTCCCAAGCAAGCATCAAACTTCTCCGTGAGCATCTGAAAACCCATGTAGTTCAATCTGACATACCTCAGCGATAAAACTTGGCAATCAGGTTTGGTGGAGCATGACCTTGCTTCATGTAAGCGCAATGCGGGTCTGAGGGCTCACATGGGAGGGCTTTAGTTCGCAAATGATGCTAAAAGCGATGGCCTCCAACCTAATAACTAATGCGTGACGGTATCTGCTGCTGATTCTTATCGAACCCTGCTGGACAAAGTCAAAAGTGGTTTCTTGGCACCTAAAAACACAATCAAACATGCACGCCTGAACTAGGTTTGCAGAAACATGCAGAAACACATGTTCTTCAATATTGAAGAGCATGGTTAAAACTCTCAATGGAATCGAGATGGGCCCAAACATGTCATTATCCCTTCGCAAAAGGTTTGTGATCTTTCTTAATGCCTGCATATTATGAAGCAAACATTTACCCGGACAAGTTTCGTATCCAAATGGACAATCTCTTCACCCAAACCACGGATCTTCTTCGCCATAGGTTCCACTTCCTTTTGGCACAAAAAGGCCACAGCAAATTGATCCAAGTGATGAGTTTGAGAGTGTTTGCTACTAGGAGCAAGGACCCTACTAGGGGCTCCTGGCATCGCTACTAGGAGCAAGGACGCTACTAGGGGCTCCTGGCATCGCTACTGGGAGCAAGCAAGGGACTCCTGGCATCGCTACTAGGAGCAAGGACGCTGTTACTAGCTGCTCATGGCATCGCTACTAGGAGCAAGGACGCTGCTCCTGGCATCGCTACTAGGGGCTCCTGGCATTGCTACTCGGAGCAAGGATGCTGCTTGTGGCATCGCTACTAGGAGCAAGGACGCTACTAGGGGCTCCTGGCATCGGAGCAAGGACGCTACTAGGGGCTCCTGGCATCGCTACTAGGAGCAAGGACGCTACT